ATCCTTGGGATGACCTGGCAAGCAAGCATAAGGGAAGATAGCATATCTTCTTCGTTGAATTGAGATTGCGCCAAGTTCCAAACTGGGTCCGTTCGTGAACTCATTTTGGCGGTTCAAATAGAAATATTCTTTGAAAAGTCCAACATTGGGCTCCTCTTGAAGGTATACTTCGCAGAAGACTTGAAATTTGTAGATGTTTGACATGGAATTGGGTCCGATGTCTTGCGAATGGAGTTGAAAGAAGTGCAGAACATCTCAGAAAAATTTAGAGCCGGGCGGTGAGAAGCTTCAGTTCATGCGGCTAGTGAAAACAATGACATCATCATCCTTTGGTTGAGGTCGTTCTTCGTCTGGATTGGGACGCGCCAATGCATGACATTTTTTGCTGGTAAATTGCCAATTTTGACAAAGTCTTTGAGCATGTTCTCAGTGACAATGGAAGGAACCCAGTTACATGAAGTGACTGTCTTTGGTGGCATTGTGAAGGAAGATGCCTGCAAGAAAGAAAAGTTTTTGCTATTTTAAATTAATTTATTAAGCCGGAAGTAAGGCGTGGCAGTGTATTCAGAGTGGTGGCTTAAATGGGGCCTAATGACATATGGCTAGTGAGAACCGGTGATGTAAGCCGCCATGATCAGATTGGTATCTGTCAAAGTGTGAAATCTGCTAAGTGTTGAATAAACAAGTTTTACAGACTGGAGCAGGGTATTTGGATCTAGCACTGTGCAGAAAAGGAAAATAAATTAAAACCTAAATATTGCAGCAGTGCAGGAACTAACACATTGGTGAGATTTCTGCAGCTAAAAGGCATGTTCGGTGATTAAGGCAAAGGATTGAAACAGGTTCTGCATATTTCAAAGGCCAGTTTTAGATCAAAGTAAGGATTAAACAGAAGCGTGATGAAGAACAATGATGAACTCATAAGAACTGAAGAAACCCCTAATGAAGATCTATGGTGGAGAAGATAAGGTACTCACTGGAACCGCTGAGCAATAGAGAGGCGCTGCAGTTTTTTCTCTGGTCCCGGTCAGGTTGATCCAGCGGCCGAGGTCGAGGACGACGATGAGCTTCGCGGCGATGGCAGGGCTCAGACATACAGAGGCGTCATGGGGAGAGGTGGAAGACGAGAAGGAAAGAAGGGGGAGAATGGATAGGCTGTCGGGGCCTATTTATAAGGAAAGGGTCAGTAGGCAGGCATGAGAAACGAGGAGGCCAAAAGATGATTATCCAGGCGTTTCAATGCCTCGATTTTTGGAGTGCTTAATTAAAGATAAAGATCCGTTAAGATATGATGTGTCTTGTGCGAAATTAATGGCAGATGATGTCATGGCGGATTTCCGTAATTCCAGGAGATGACATCATGGCGGGTTACAATATATTTTGAAGAACAAGTGAAGAAGGATTTTTTCCCTAAGTGTTGAAGATTGACATGAACAAGTTCAGATCAACCTGGGGCCTAATGTTGGGGATGTAACTATTGGGTTAACCCGCCCAGGAGGGGCAGGGTTAATCCACGACGATCTATCGGGACAAAGCCCATAAAGACGCTGAAGATGGTGGTTCATTATGAAGATTCATTAAAAGGCCCTAGGCCCAGAGGTGGCTTAAAGCCCATAAAGCGTAAACCGCCATATATGTATGACTTGTATTGTAAGGCATGTGTGTTAGGTCACCGAGCCAGACACGTTATATGAACCGATCGGGACTCTGTAAAGCGGATGGGCGTCAACCTGTGTATATAAAGGGACGACCCAGCGGCGGTTTAGGGCAAGGGAGAATAGATCAAAAGCTAGGTCAAGCGTATTCGCTCCCTGGTAATCGAGACATAAGCAATAACACCTCAACTGGAGTAGGCCTTTACCTTCACCGCAAGGGGTCGAACCAGTATAAACTCCTGTGTCCTTTGTCCCATTTAACCCCTTTAAGTTAACCTAGTGCGATGTCTCCACGACTAAGTCCTCACACTAGGACATCTGCCGTGACAATTCCATGACATTACCCGTGCCCGTTATCCGCCTTACCCGTGAAGTCCTTACATGCAGGCACTAAAATTAGTAGACCCCATGTAATTCCCGCCCTTACTCACCCAATTTTTCACCCATCCCACCCCTTTGGCCAAAAAGCCCTAAAAAGTCCTAACCTAGCCACAACATATTATTTATTGTGCTGAAATACTATTCTTCTACGGAAATGCTATCAGATGTTGTTGTTGATTGCGTGTATGGGTTTTTCCATGGGGATAAAAAAAGGACGGGGATGGGGATGGGACTATTTTTATCCCCGCAGATGGGTAGGAGGATGGGGACGGGGATGGGAGTCCAATACCCGCCTGGGTAATCTCGATTGCCAGCATGAATCGTGCAGAAATCAGCAGAACGGTGTCTTCAACACTCATAAATTAATGAGGCGACAATATTATACCGGGAAATATCATACACTAGCACATGATATTAACTTATGATACTCCCTGCTCACTAAGGGCATCTTTAACGGAAACCCACAAATTTCCTGTTGCATTCGTTCGCGGACGGGGAAGGGGGGAGGAGGGAGTCCACGGACACGGATGCGGGAGGACGCATTTAAATGTAGCCTCATATATTTTGACAACAACTCCAACCAACCAGACGGAATTCGTGCAAACCTGATGAATTTTGATATAAACATGGCGGATTTCATTGAAACTAGCATAATTTGTACATAAATCAGACAATATTTCGTTCGGTGAACTAAAAACCTAAAAATAAAACCCTAAACAATCTTATACTTCACGATGACCTCGTAGTCCATGCCGGGCTGGTCGGCGGCTCCTCCTCTATCATCCTGGCCCGACCCGGCGTCAGAGTCGGAGTCATCGGCCTTGGGACGGCAGAAGGAGGCGACGTCACGGCAGGGCTTCCTGGAGGCCGCCTGGCACTCGCAGATGATCCTTTTTGCCCCCTCCTGCGTCGTGCGCAATGCGGCCACAAATGACGTAGGATGGAGAGAGGGCGGTGGTTGTTGGAGGAGGCGTCGTTGGCGACAGCGATCAGGATGAGGGACCATCCCTCGCCCTACCTGGCCATCTCCCCGTTGAGGTGGCGGAGAGACGGCGCTTGGCCGTCTCCGACATCATCACGAAGCGGTCTAGCGCCCGGGCGTATGCTAGGTCCGGGTCCATCGCGATGTGTGGTGGCGGGACGTCCGAGTCCGCAAACTTGGATCGACGTGCGGCGTTGCGGCTGTCCCGCCGGGGCTGCTCCCGGACGGCGTACTCCTGCGCCATCATGGCGCTCCGGGACAACGGTGAGGAGTCGTCACCGCGGAGGTAGTGCAGAATGCGACCGCACGCCTTGGAAAATGACGGCGGCGAGCGGCGCTCCTCCTTCATGATGGGTCGTGCCGGTAGCGAGAGCCGCTCCTCCATGACACGCTAGGGCGGTAGCGAGAATCGCTCTTCCTTCACGCGGCGTCCGATTTGGACGCCGTGGCTGCGCGGCAGCGGAGAGCGTGGAGGGGATGTCGGCTCCGGCTTCACGGGGAGGAGCACCCCCGGTGGCGGAGCCGAGCCGTTGGTGTGGACTTCCCGTCGGTGCCGTCGTAGACCTAGCGCAACACCGTCGGCGCGGCCTGCGGCGGTGGCGGCGGCTACTAGTCCACCTCGTCGGCGGAGATGATGATCTTCGTCCGTGTTGAGTCACGCTAGCCGATGAGGACGACGACCCCAGAGTTCGAGGGTGGTGCCGCCACTATCCGCCAGATCCCGCCCTGGAGCCACTTGCCAGCACCGACGCCCAGGACTTGCCCATTGTCGAAGATGTGGATGGAAATGGGCGGGGAGGGGAGGAGGAGGAGGAGGAGGATGCGACGTGGACGGCGCCGGAATGCGGCTTAAATAGCCGCGACCAGGCCATGCAAAGGGCCGGTCAGCCCTTTCATTGCGGCGCAACGACTCGAGTTCGTTCCTCGGGAACCTGCGTTTGCATTGAAGCGGCGGCTGTCGAGAGGTCGCGTCCGTCAGCGCTGACCTCCCTCCCACCGGTCACATCACGTCATCAATGCCGGCCTTCGTGTGCTCTGGGCCGACATGAATGCGGCGCGGTGAGCAGTGCCTGCATCGGAAGGAAAACGTGGGAGGGAGAGGTGACGTGTTTTTTTGTGGGTCGGGGTGGTCAGAAGCGGGCGTGAGATCGGTCTGGACTTTCGTAAACCTTATTCACGTGTGTCTTCGGTTTGTGGAAGAAATGGCGCCCGAATCGCGTTGGGTGATTTTCATGATTCGAATGGTTGCCGAAGGTTTGAGAGTCGGCGTTGGAGATGCCTAAAAAGATCCTACGAGAACTTGATCAGACAAATCCTAGGGGCAGAGTGAGGTCTCCTCCTACATGGGTTGTAGTGTAGCCCGCTCGTCCCCACACCGCGGCATTGCCCACATCACGCACGCTCTGCCCCCTCCCTCCCCGCCCCTCGGTGGAAGTGGAATGCAGCTCAACGCTCGTACGCCCGCCACTCTGCTCTGCTCCCCCGTCCTATTCCCTTGTCTCGCTCACCCTTCATCAAACGACGCACCGTGCGGCCCAGGCCTCAACGACAGCAGGCTTGCTTGACAGGAGGACCAAATTTCCACACGATCGTGGACGTGGAGAGAATCCTAGGTGTGCTATACAGAACGCAATCGGGGTAGCCCGTGTGTTTATCTATCTGTAATCAAGGGCAGGGCAGGGCAGGGCAGGTGTGGCGCCCCGTGAGCAGGGCGAATTAAGCCCATTTACGCCACTCAGCCAGGCAACGGTGGTGGTACGCGTCAAAGGCCATTGGGCAAGTGCAGTTGCACTGCCGCGACCGCAGACCATTTACGCCCTTGCAAGGAGCCAACCTGGCCACCACCCATCACTTCCCCTTCCACAGCGCAAGCCTGTAAAGTGTTTAAACCCTTAGCTTTGCTCTATTTAACCATCACACAGACCCAACCCAAAGAGACCACACAGCTCAGGAAAGCTCTTCAGACTCGAGAGGAAGGAGCCATGGCGCTCGGCAAGCTTGCGGTGGCCGCGCTGGTGGCGTCTCTCCTCCTACTCAGCACCATCAAGGTAAGTTAAGGGTGCCTTCTGTCTAAGTACTCAATGCGACAATGCATACAATATACATGGCTGATTTTGTCCTCTCCTCTGGGTGGTGGATAGGCTGCCGACTCTCCTGCTCCGGCTGCTGCTCCGCTCGGGCCTCCTCCCCACAACATCGTAGACCCCTCTAAAGGTATCAAATCTGCCCTATGATCGGAGTACGTATTTCAGATGAGAGAAAATGTGCTCGTTCATTCCATGGCGTGTGATGCAGACTGTGGGTGGGCGTGCAACCTGCGGTGCAGCGCCAACTCGCGGTCGAAGCTGTGCAGCCGGGCGTGCCTCAAGTGCTGCAGCGTGTGCCGCTGTGTGCCGGCGGGCACGGCCAGCAACAAGGAGACCTGCGGCAAGTGCTACACCGACTGGACCACGCACGGCAACAAGACCAAGTGCCCCTGAATATCTTCAGCCAACCTAAATATCTTAGTAGAGTAGCTAAGCTTTGCTCATGATTGTCGTTAGTGTTACCGGTGACCTTCGTGATTTCGTCTTAGTGTGGAAGGAACGGTGTTGACTAGACTAGCACTAGCTAGCTGGTGAACCTGGTCCTGGTGTGTTCTTGTGTAAAGAGTAAGTACGTGTTGTCCCGTAGGTGGGCGTATTTCTCGTGTAATAAAGCCCATCCGGAGGTTTATGTGGTGAATGCATGGTTCTCTTGCTAGCCGTATACGTCACCTTTGTTTGAGATGAAAAGTTGGCGCTTCATGCGTCCCGCTCCCTCGTCCCTCATTCAAAGAAAAGAGAGTTCTTATCCGTTGCAGTCCAAGTCCATGCCATATACGTTAATTGCCTAAGAAACGGATACAAAATGGCAAAAATGGCTCGTCCCCGCTCGCGCTCTCGCGATAGCCGCCGCCCCACCACCGTAGTCCACCAGCCCTCCCTGGCGGCTGCCGCTCCGGCGCCGCTGGCCACCCAATCTGGCTCGCCGTGGCTCCCGCGACTAGGCCTTGCCCCGCCCTCGCTGCTCTGGGGCTTCCCCTCCCCCCGGCCTATTGGGCAACGGCCCTTCTCTGTGTTGAATCGAGATCTGGATCGGGAACTAGCCACCCCTCCCCCTCCGCCTCCTGGTCGGCCACCGCGCGACCCGCATGAGGTGTCCGTGGTTCCGGAGACGCCTCCTGAGTTGCAACGCGGCGAGTCCAGGCAAGCTGCCCCCCTCTTCAATGCTCTCGCAGTGGCCGCTGGCCAGGGGGCGCGCATTAACTCGAGTAGCTGGGCCGAGGTCGTCCAAGGCGTGGGCGGCCGTGCTCTGGATGCGCATTCAACGCGCGCGGCGCCCGCGGGGCTCGAGGCTGCAGACGCGGGGGGATGGGTCACCGTCGCGTCCCGTCGGCCGCGCTGGACGGCTTTGCCAGACGCGCCATTGAAGCCCCGCCAGCCCACTCCAGAGTGGATTAAACATCTCTGCTTTCGCTGCCTTATGCCCCGCCATCGCCAAGCCAAGTGCAGAAACCAGATTGTCTGCCGCGGCTGCTTCCAACCAGGCCACCGTGCAAAGTTCTGCTCCAACAAACCGGCTCCGCATCTTCGTCTGGGTGCCTCGTCCATGCGTCCTCTGCATCCGTCCCCAGTGCGTGCGCCGCTCAGCCGCCGCCCCCTGCCTACGGCGTCGCCCCGCCTCGTCCCTGCCATGGCCTGGTCTGGCGACCACTCGCAGAGGCCTACGGAGGTGTTCACGGTGATCCACGGGTCGCCGGCCATGCATCAGGAGGCTGCGCTGCTGGGCTCGCATGCGATGGTTGCGTGGCTTGACAGGGACCTGCGGCAAGCACGCAGGAGATTGGCGCAGCCATCGCCTTCGAGCTGGGCGCTCTGACGGATGACGTCTCAGTTGTCAAGCACTTCCCGGAGGCTTACCTCCTCAGGTTCTTCCACCAGCATCACTGCGTCGACGCGACGGGGCGCCGGGGCCTGCCGTTCCGCGAGACGAGGCTGCAACTTTGCCCTTGGAGTTTGGAAGCTCACTCCAGGAGCGTCGACCTCGTCCACCATGTTCATCTGTGTCTGGACGGACTCCCGCTGCAGGCGTGGGACGAGCCCGCCGTCGCGCAGGCCATTGGGAAGGGCTGCTCCATCGACTACATCGAACCAGCCTCGAGGCTCAAGACGGATTGCGAGGTGCTGGCGATCTGGGCGTGGACTGCGTCTCCAGCCAACGTCCTGCGTGTCAACTGGGTGACCCTGGCGGCACGTGCGGGCGACCAACCGGCTTTCGGTCGGCGTGGTCGGGAGCGGCGGGTCATCATCCATCTCTCCATCCACGAGGACCCAACGCAAGGCCCCAGGATTGTGTCCAAGGGATACAACTTCACGAAGGGCATCGTCGACGGCGAACGACAGGCCTGAGACCCGCGGGAGCGCCTCTCCCGCCCCGACAACAACCACCGGCGTGACCGTGACGAAGACCAAGACAGGCGCCGTGACGACAGGGACCGTAGGGGGCGCGACGGCTCGCGCAACAGGGATGGGTGGGGCACGCGCATCAGGCGCAGCCTTTCCAGGCAGCCGCGAGACGCCTCGCAGGACCATGGTCGCGGTGCTGGGCGCGAGGACCGCCGGGATGATGCTGGTCGTGACCGCGACAGCCGTCGCCGCGCTGCTGATGCAGCTCCGCCCAAGCCTGCCGTCCTGCTGGGCTCCGGCTCCTCCAGCGCGGACGCGGCCCGTGTCTTGGAGATGCAGCCCCTGCTGACCTTGCCGCTAGATGCTGAACACGGGCGCAGCATCGCGCGGCACCCCTCGCCAAGCGCTGCCCGGCGTCGGTCTCAGGAGAGCCTCATGCCGCCAGTCTCGCCTCCGCCGTCGCCAACTACTGTCCTCTTGCCGTCTCCAAGGTCCATGAGGAATGAAGCCCGGTCAGCTATGCTCGTGCCGGACATGCCAAGCCAGGCGCTGCTCGAGCTCTGCTCGCCCTCGATGTTGCTGCTGCCTGTTCCATCGCCTTCCAGGCCTCCGGGGTTTGAGGCCTCCCCAACACCGCCCCTGCTGTCATGTGGGCCGCTGTGCCGCACTCCCTCGCCTGTGCGGTATCGTAGGGCTGCTGCTGGTGGTGGTGGCGCGGTCGGCCTCCAGTGCCTTGCACCCCTGTTTGAAGATCGCCAGGAAGCCATCCTGCCAACACCCACCCCTGCACCAACACCACCCCGAGCTCCTGCTGCGCGCAGGAAAACCATGGCTGGTGTGACTATCTCCAGGGTTGGCGGCGCTCTTTCGCTGCAGAAGACGCGGGCGGCAAGCCACCCCAGGGCCACGCCGGTGGCTAGAGCGGCAGAAATTCTGGTCTGCCGCTCTCTCGGCATCGTGAAGGATGGTGAGGATGTAACTACTGCGGCCCTCGATGCCTTCGCGGAACGCTTCAAAGAGCACCTGTCTCCGGAGGTGATCACAGCCATGAGGTGGCTTTTCAAGCTCGACAACGATAATGCGCACGCTGTGGAGGATGCCCTGCTGGCGCATGGCGGGGGTGGTGCGCTGGACCTGGAGAGGGCTGATCAGCAGGCCGAGCTGCAGCAGGCTGCAACCTAAGTAGTTGTTGCTCAAACCTGGGACTGATCTTGTTCAAATGTTAGTACAACCAAATGCATGTCCAGGGGTGTCTGCGTACTGGGTCCAATGTATCCCTAGAGTAGAAGTTTGTGTGCGTGCTAGCTACACACCTTGTATCAAGTCTATGGAGTTGCTTCTCCAACTTATGGCGTCCGCTACTGTAACCGGGTGCAAGCACAATGTTGCTGCTCCAACCATTATGCCAAGTACTGTTATGGTTTCTCTGCTCATGTTATGTGCATATGCTCCAGGGTCTTTGTGGTTAAATCATGTTAGCTCAACCAATTAATTTCTTGAGCTGGAATGTTAGGGGCCTTAACTGCCTGGATCGGCAGTCCACGGTCAACGCAACCATTGCTTCCTGCTCCTGCCATGTGGTATGTCTTCAGGAGACAAAACTTGACAATATCGACCAGTTCACGGCCGCTTTTTTGGGGGGTCATAGGTTACGCAACTTTGCGCAACGCCTGGCAAATGGTACGAGGGGAGGTATCCTCCTTCTCTGGGATGATATCTTGGTGGAGATGTCCAACATCACCTGTACAGCTTACTGCCTCTCAGCCATGGTTTGTGTCAGGGATTCGGGCGTCAGATTTAAAATAACAACCGTTTATGGCCCGACCGACCCCTCGCTTAAGGACGTGTTCTTTGCCGAGCTCATTAGCCAGAAGCCGCCTGTTGGGGTCGCTTGGATCGCCTCCGGGGACTTCAACCAAATTTATCGGGCAAGGGATAAAAACAAGAGGAATGTTAACACCAGTCGAATCAACCGGTTTTGTGCAACTCTCAATAGTTGTGAGCTTAAAGAAATCCACCTCCAGAATAGGAGGTTCACCTGGAGCAACGAGAGGGCAAACCCAACCCTGAGCAAGCTTGACTCTTTCTTTTGCAATGCGGAGTGGGACACCACCTTCAACGACCACATGCTCCATGCACTTTCTTCGTCCCTATCCGACCATTGCCCACTCTTGCTCGCCGAGGATAAGGGTCCTAGGAGGCCTAAAACTTTCAAATTTGAGAACTTTTGGACTTCTATGCCCGGCTTCAATGATGTGATCCAAAAGGCCTGGGTCGAGCCCGTTGAGCACACCGAGCCACACATTATCCTTTTTCACAAGCTAAAGAAAATAGCGATGCGCCTCTCTCGATGGAGTAGGGGTCTCTTCTCTAAAGCTAAGGTCCATCTCCATGCCGCCCTCTTGGTGATCCTCCGCCTCGACATTGCTCAAGAGGGAAGGCTGCTCTCCCCCGAGGAGCTTGACCTTCGGGCTAGGCTCAAGAGAAGGGTAATAAGCCTGGCCGTGCTCGAGAAAGCACGCAAGAAGCAATGTGCCAGAATCACAAACATCAGAGAAGGTGATGCCAACACCAAGTTCTTTCACCGTCGGGTTAATGCACGAAGGAGGAAAAACCACATTCACCGAATCATGAATGATCAAGGGTGGGTGACGGAGCACAAGGCCAAGGAAAAAATAATTCACGAGCATTTCTCGCATATAATGAAAAGGGGAAGCGCGAGCACAAAGGACTTCAATTGGGAGGAACTCAACCTGGAGTCGCATGACCTACACGAGCTTGACTCTCCCTTCTCCGAGGAGGAGGTCATCAAGGCGATAAATAGCATGCCTAGTGACAAGGCGCCTGGGCCGGACGGCTTCACTGGCCTCTTCTTCAAGAAGTGTTGGGGCATCATTAAGCACAGCCTCATGAGGGTGATTCAAAGCTTTGACTCCCTCCACACAACAAATCTTCACTGGCTCAACTCTGCGAATATTGTACTGCTTCCCAAGAAGGATGGGGCGGAGAGCATTGTCGACTATCGGCCTATCAGTCTCATTCATGGAATCACC